AATGATTAATTAAAACTTTTTTGGCGGCCGTTTTCGTTTTAATATATATATATATATATATATATATATATATATATATATATGTGTGTGTGTGTGTGTGTGTGTGTGTTTTGTGTGTGTGTGTGTTTGTGTGTGTGTGTGTGTGTGTGTGTGTAAGCAAATATATAGATATAGATCCGACAGTATGAAGAAAAATATACGGTAAAAACAAAAAAAATTCCTAATATGCAATTATGCTGTTTTAATGTTAATATAATATCAACGTCTGACGTTTCGGTCTAATAGACCATCTTCAGGACATATTCATAAAACATAATTAACATTAAACCGTATTCAATTAAACATGAAAAAGACGATGAAAAAGACGATTAATGCTCGACAAACGTACATATAAGTTTTAGATCAAAATAAAATTCTTTTCGTTTTTCATTCAAAATACTCAAATTTTAGGAATACGTTTTCACAAGATCGCCCACGTGACGACGACGTGATCATATTTAAACGGAACGCTGATCTTATAAAAGATTTCAGTTATCTGTTTGGATTGGTCTTGCTCTTATGTCCATCGTCTTTTTCATGTTTAATTGAATACGGTCTAATGTTAATTATGTTTTATGAATATGTCCTGAAGATGGTCTATTAGACCGAAACGTCCGACGTTGACATTATATTAACATTAAAACAGCATAAGTGCATATTAGAATTTTTGTTTGTTTTTTCCGTATATTTTTCTTCATATATATATGTATATATATATATATATATATATTACGATAAACGTGCAATCAATTTACAAATACATGAATTATTCACACAAAACTAATGCAAAGGTTAATGCTTTAAATGGCGAGACATCCATCATCGCAAACAATTCAAATAGTATACAAAAACTGACCAAAGACGGAACTTGTTTGCGATGATGGATGTCTCGCCATTTAAAGCATTAACCTTTGCATTAGTTTTGTGTGAATAATTCATGTATTTGTAAATTGATTGCACGTTTATCGTAATTTAAATAACTGATCCATGTGCGACTTTTGGATAATAAGTGCGACATTACTGTAATTATTGAACAATATAGTTCATGCCACTTTGACAAAAAATTTACCAGTAAAAAAATTTGTTCAACACCATATTTGGTATAAACGCAAACACTTTAAAATTTAAAATCAAACTCAGCGTTGCTTTGGCGCGTTCCAAAACCAATAACTCATTTTCAATAGCATTTTCGGATACAACAACACATATTTTCGTTGTCCTCTTATTACTAAGAGAAAAACCAAGAACAACATCTATTCTATACCTGAAGATGTCTGTAGGAACAGACGAAAGCTTGTAGTAAAAATAACAACTAATACGGCAGAAATTTATATAAACAAGGATCAATTCATTCATAACGGATCTGGAGGTTTTTGTATACTATTTGAATTGTTTGCGATGATGGATGTCTCGCCATTTAAAGCATTAACCTTTGCATTAGTTTTGTGTGAATAATTCATATATATATATATATATATATATATATATATATATATATATATATATATATATTACGGACGTAATGGAATAGCTGAATAGGAAAAGAATGATAAACATGCTTTGTTTCCAGAGAGAGTTTTATAATGCCACGTCGTACACAAAATTACTTACACCTTTGTGCAAATAAATTGAAACCGCTGCTTTAGTTTCCTTTCTTTCACCATATAGCCAGTTTTAGATCCACTGGACTGACAGGGTGAAACTGATTTCTATTTTTTCCTCGAATTAGGTCATTTTCAATGGTGTACAGTAATATGATTCTTTTAGTTTTGTATGATGAAATTCGTTTGGCTTTGGAAAATATTATTCATCCGTGATTGCATCAGATTTCCATCACGCTCAGTCACTTTTGTCTCGACTGTCGATTAGTTGTCCTACGGCCATTGTCTGCGATGGACGTTAGTCCATGGAAGCGTAAGAAAATCGCAACGCTGCACGAACACACTGGCATGTAATAATACACATTACTGAAGCAAATGCTGATTCTGTGGTGAATATCCACAAAGAGGTAAACCATCGATCAAATATGAAACTTAGCATGACAAAATTGACCAATATCTACTCTGGAAAAAGCGGAACTTTTCGGGGTTGTCAACTGCAAACGATTGTTACAAGCATCAAACAGACCCGGTTACAGGATCTGTTACCATTTCATAAGACTTTGCAACGCACGCAAATGTAAGCATAGGCATCAAAAATTCACAAAAGCATAATTTATTGACATGGCAATTCCGGGAAACTGTAAGGATTTGGAAATTAAAAAGAAATCTATAAAAACATGACAAGGATCTTGAAATGGAAAATTTCAAAATTGTGATACATGAAGACCTCAATATTTCAGTTGTAGCTGAGGCCCAGATTGCTGGGAATTTTAGAATGGTTTTCCTGGCAGATCTTTCAATATCACAGACACTAAATTAATCCTGGTAAATAAAAATTAAAAAAAAATTCTAAAATTCCCAGCACCCCTCGTTCGTGCTCATGTATAGTCCTACCGACATAACAAAATTAGTCCGATGAGTTCTGAGAGACAAAACGCATCACAAGTAAACATTTTCCACTTTGTCATTTTTGGTGGCCGTTAATAATTAGTTATAACTCAAGACTTCAGTGTTAACATAAAACAGTATTTAATCATAACTGCAAATAAATACTTAACAAGAACAAAGAAGTAAAAGTCAAGCAAAGATAATTAACCATTTCAGTGAATACCTTGTTAGTAGCGCGGCTCCGTTTAACGTCCGGTAAATCTTAAATCAAAACCCAAATCATCGACACAAAATAATTCACACTAATTCGACTGGATAGTTCCAATCAATAATCACATAATAATCATAGCAGTCAGTAGCCTGAAACCTCTATTTATACATCTGGCGGAAAACATGTATTCATAAGTCCAGAGTGTCACGTTCGAATCTCAGTGTCGGTAGTTACTCAGTTTCTTCCTATATGACAGGCGTGCAATATCCCTAAACTGATCACAGTTTTGAGATAGGAATTTTACTTTGATTAAAAAATTGAAAAGAAAATAACCTGCTAAGATGAAAATGCCTAGAAAATGCTTTAGTCGCTACTTCAGCCACGCTAAATTTCCGTTCAGGATATGGTAAATATATCATTCTTCGTAGATTTTTCTGTTGTAACAGTGTGGGATAGTCAAAGAGAAAGGTGATGGAAAGAAAAAAGAATAAAGATGAATTTGGCTAGATTGAAAAAATATTCTTTCAAAAATATTTTTTCAAAAATCTTGAAACTACCAGCCTCTCTCGTTTCGTACGCATGTATAGACGTAGCAACATCAACAAGGCCTAACAGATGAAACGCGTCAGAAAAAACACTTTTTTCCAATTTGTCATGCTATTTTTTTAAATACTATTTGTTGATATATAAAATTATACAAAATTATATATCGTCATATATATATATATATATATATATATATATATATATATATATAATTAATCAAACCTAAAGAGCCAGTCAAACCTATGAAGATTTCACCTAACCAGATTCTCAGTCCTGACGATCTGCTTAGGTGAAGCCTTGGTAGGTTTTGTCTGGCTCTTTAGGTTTAACTAGGTCTGCTCTACTTACCGTATTGAGCACTTTATTTAGTCATTTTGCTTACTCGTATAGGGTTTTTTTTCTTTAGACTTTGGACTTGCATGCTAAACGATTATTTTCGGCTAACGTTCATGTTCTTTGTTCTTTCTTTTTTTTTAATACCTTTTTTTCCTTTGGTATTGGTTTGATTATTTGCAAATCAAGACACCGAAGGTTTTCCGGGCGACTATAATTATTACTAGTATATATATATATATATATATATATATATATATATATATATAATTATTTATTTAAAAATATGATTCCAACACTACATAAGAGTTCTCATGTTTCAAAACAAGAGCCGAAAACTTCAATATAATTATTTGAATTAAATTAAATTAAAGTACCAAGCTCTGTTCCATCTTCAAGCGAATTTTTTTTTTTGAATAACTAATTCCTGAAATTTACGCGTTTTATAAGCATATTCATTAGTATAATTAAAATTACTATGGTAACGGCTAGAGCAATGATTTAAAGAAAAGGGGCGTAACGGTTAATAATTTGTATCAATATCTCAGTTACATTCAAAGAGGTCAAGGCAGGGTAAGGTTGGGGTGTCTAAATTTAAAGCGGAAGATGACATCGTCTAGTCTGGTTAAGTGTCTATGGAGATCTATTTATTTTTTTATTTTATTTTTCTGAAAGGGTTTTGTGTATATAAAATACTGTCATAATTCGCTAACATTTGTTTTTTTGACGACTTCATAAAGGGTTATCTTTATTTATTTATTTTTTTTTGTAGGGCATTTAAACTATTTATTTAGACTATGGAATTTAAAAAATTATTTTATTGTTTGTTTGTTTTTATGCTAATTATTCAGTGCGAAAATTTGATGATGTCGGCAAAAAACCGTTAACTCGTGTCTCTTCTTTAATAGATTTTTATTATTTAGAAACTTAATAATGTGTAGTTTTTCATGTAGGCATAAAGGGCATGGGTCATCCCAAGTTTTACAAGTTATATATATATATAAAAGACATTTTTTTATATTTACACATTATATTTATAGATACAAATATTTAAGTATCTATGAAAAAAATGTCTTAAAAATAATTGTCGGTCTTTGTTCATTTCATTATTCTATATAGCTGGTCACTTGTATTGGAGGGTACCCGTCTACTGGGGCGGCTAGCCAATCCCTAATGTAGACACTCGCTCAGGCAAATTTTTGTTTGTTCAACATCCCCAGAGCCCACCTGTGGTTTATACAACTATGCTGAGCAGATTTTAGTTACAGTTTGTGGAAGAGAGCGTGTTATCTAGCGTGAACAACAATCGGAACAAGGCCAGCACGCTCAGGAATACCGTCTACCCAATTTCACTCATAAAGAAATGTTCAACAGATATTGACCGACTCCAGAGTTTCCCATCAAAACGCTCCTCAGTGCAAGATTGCCATGAAATGGAAATTAGATAGACAGAGAGATAGAGAATGAGCAGTATAAGATAGATAGATAGATAGATAGATAGATAGATAGATAGATAGATAGATAGATAGATCATGAGCAGTCATATATATATATATATATAGATAGATAGATAGATAGATAGATAGATAGATAGATAGATAATATTAGTGGAAAATATACATACATATGCAAAATATATAAATACCCATACATGTATATTTTCAGAAAAAATTTTTTCCAAGAGGAAGAATCCAGGTAGAACTCAATGTCTAGGACAGAGTAAGGATATTAAATTTGTCTAATCGTTATATATTTAGCTTCATATATTTATATTTGATTTGTAACCTGTAGTCGATATTAAATTTGTCAAATTTTCTCAATTACAAAGCGGCCCTTTAAGTAAACGCAATTTTACTTTCCTTCGTCCCATCTCTCTCCCCCACCTCCTCTTTCCCTTCCCCTCCCTCTTATTCTAGCATTAAATTGTCTATGGTGTGTGTGTATCACCACGAAATGTATCTTTATGCATTAGACATCCGTTAACATTCATTCTCTTCTCTTATTTAAAACCCTTCCCCCCACATCTCCTAAAATTCTCTCTGTTAAGGTTCAATCTCCCTCCTCCTCATACTTACACTTTCTCTAAATTCTGTTTTTATTTCCGGAGTGAGTTTTTTCTGTTTTCTTTTTGAATTTGCAGGTCTGATGATTTCGATCGTATTTACGATTCCAATGGAATAAATTATGACCATGGAATATTAGTGTTTAAGCCTTCTTATTATATATATATATATATATATATATATATATATATATATATATATATATATATATATATAATAGATAGAGTAACAGATAGATGGAGAATGAGTAGTCTTAGATATATTTATTTAGACAGATCGATCGATAGGGAGAAAATGAGCAGTCTTATATATATATATATATATATATATAATCGATAGATAGGTAATGAGCAGTCTTATATATATGTATATATATAGTTTATATCTTTTTAAAATATACACTTTTTCACGTTGAAATAAATATAACTTACCCTAGATAGATAGATAGATAGATAGATAGATAGATAGATAGATAGATAGATGAACAAAGTGAGATAGATAGATAGATAGATAGATAGATAGATAGATAGATAGATAGATAGAGTACTTGAATATTGAATGCCATCGCAGTGATAAAGAAACAAAAACATCTTGAAAGACAAAAATGCATTATAAATTTTTCAAGTTTCTTCTTTCAAAATTTTAGAATATTGAATCTGATTGAAATCTAGCCTCGTTTCCAATTAATGTTGCTTACACACCGCAAATGGCGCCATTGTACAGAATGAACGCCCTTCAATCTTGAGTTAGAATCCGGAAAGGTGGACGGAAGAAAAAGGATAGATTTTTACTATTTTGTTTTCGTTTTTAATTGATTGTTATATTCAATGTTCATCTCAAGGGTGCAGCTTGCTGGAGACTTTCCTTATAGCTGGACTGTATTTGGGAATAGATATATTCTTTAAACATTAATTTGCTTGAGGAAAGAAAGCGAATGTTAACACCGTGTGGATGATTCCTTCTTCATTTCCTTTTAAACTTTTTTTTTATGTTTCTCTTTTCTTTCCTTTCTTTCTTTCTTCATTTATGTATTTCGTATCAGCTTCCCTCTCTAAATCCATCCTATTCTACTCAGACATATTCTATATGATTGGTTTTCTAAATCGTATTTCTTTCTTTCTTTGCATTCGTTCAGAATTTATTCTTTTCTATTTCTTGTCTTTCTTTCTTTCTTTGCTTTTATTTAGAATATGTAATCCTTTCTTTTCCCTTTCTTTCTTTCTTTCTTCGCCTATATTTTCCTTTCTTTTTCTTTCTTTCTTTTTTCTTTCTTCACCTGTATTTTATTCCTTTCTTTCTCTTTTTTCCTTCCTTTCTTTCTTTCTTTCTTTCTTTCTTCGCCTATATTTTCCTTTCTTTTTCTTCCTTTATTTTTTCTTACTTCACTTGTATTTTATTTCTTTCTTTCTCTTTTATCCTTTCTTTCTTTGCTTTCATTTAGAATCTATTCCTTTCTATTTCCATTCTTTCTTTCTTTCTTTCTTTCTTTCTTTTCTTGCTTTCATTCAAAAAATAATCATTTCTTTTCCATTTCTTTCTTTCTTTCTTTCTTTCTTTGCTTTCATTCAGAATTTGTTCCTTTCTATTTCTTTCTTTCTTTCTTTGCTTTCATTTAGAATCTATTATTTTCCTTTCTTTCTTTCTTTCTTTCTTTCTTTCTTTCTATCTTTTCTTGCTCTTATTCAAGTAATCCTTTCTTTTCCCTTTCTTTCTTTGCTTTCATTCAGAATCTATTCCTTTCGATTTCTTTTCTTTCTTTCTTTCTTTCTTTCTTTCTTTGCCTGAATTCAGAATATATTCCTTTCGATTTCCTTACCTTCCTTCTTTCTTTTTTTTTTTTTTTAAAATTATGATTACACCCTATGTTTTTTTTTCAAAATTTATGGTAATTGCTTTTCAAAGCTTCCAAAAAATCATCAGAGGTACGCAATTATCCAGGATCGAATTTGTCTAGGTACGCAAATGTCCAGAGACGCAATTGTCTGGTACGTAAATATCCGGACCGTAAATGTCCACTGTCCTAGCACCCGGATGTGGCAGCAATACCCCAAATTCGGTTTGATATCTCTTCCGATATAACACTCACTTCCTAATGGGCGAAAAACTTGCTGATTAGATTCAATTCCTCGAAAACCAAACAAGTTACATCTCTTTATCGCCGGTCAGACCCCAAAACTATCGCCAATCACGATGAGCGGATGTCCCCCTTCGAGGACGCCCGTTCCTCGAGAGGATTTGGGGCCTCAAACTCACACACGACCTCAAGTTGAATTTGTATATACGCTCCAACGCTAAAGATGCAGGTAAAATGATCGGCTCCTTCTACCGTTCTAGTCAGTCACTGACTCCTCATGCTATGCTCTACCTTTATAAGAGCCAGATCAGGCCGAAAATTATTGTTGCCATATTTGGGCAGGAGCTGCCCAGTCCTCACTTTAGGTCTTGACGATGAAGATTATTTCAAAAGCTTATTCGAGACCTTGTGAGAGAACTATTTCCATCTCTCTCTCTCTCTCTCTCTCTCTCTCTCTCTTTCTCTCCCCTCTCTCTCTCTCTCTCTCTCAGGCGAGAGAGGTCTGGACGATGAAGATTATTTCAAAAGCTTATTCGAGACCTTGTGAGAGAAGAATTATTTCTTACCTTTCACTCTCTCTCTCTCACTCTCTCAGGCGAAAGAGGTCTTGACGATGAAGATTATTTCAAAAGCTTATTCGAGACCTTGTGAGAGAAGAATTATTTCCTCCCTTTCACTCTCACTCTCTCTCTCTCTCTTTCTCTCTCTCTCTCTCTCTCTCTCTCTCTCACACACACACACACTCTCTCAGGCGAGAGAGGTCTTGACGATGAAGATTATTTGGAGACCTTGTGAGAGATGAATTATTTCCTACCTTTCACTCACTCTCTCTCTCTCTCTCTCTCTCTCTCTCTCTCTCTCTCTCACTCTCTCAGGCGGGAGAGGTCTTGACGATGAAGATTATTTCAAAAGCTTCTCCGAGGCCTTGCGAGAGAAGAATTCCCTCTCTCTCTCTCTCTCTCTCTCTCTCTGTTGAGATGTGGCGAGTCGCACGCTGCTCTATCGATTCTACCATGGAAAATTATCGACCTGCATCTCCTGGATCCTCCAGGTTTTGCCTTCACAGTTACCCCGTTGGACGAAATAAAGGACTCGGTTCAAAATTCCAATCATCTGAAGAAGGTCGAAACGTGGTAAATATGGCAATGAAGATGAGGATAACAGTCCGAATAATACAAATAATGTAACTAATCATAATACCTAATCTCAGAGATTTTCGAAATTCCAATCACCTGAAGAAGGCCAGAACATATGAAACGTCGTGAATATGGCAATGAAGATGAGGATAACAGTCCGAATAATATAAATAATGTAAGTAATCGTAATACTTCATCTCAGAGATTTTCGTAAATTTCAATCGCCTGAAGAAGGCCGGAGCGTACAACGGCCGAAACGTTGTAAATATGGCAATGAAGATGAGGATAACAGTCCGAATAATGATACCTCATCTCAGAGATATAGACAAAAAAATTCTTACAAAAATATTCTCTGGCCTTAAATAACCCGCAAAGGGTTGATAAGTCGTAAAAAAAAAACGAATCAGTCACTGGACAGAATTGAGCATTTCATCGAAACGTTTTGCTCCAGATTTCCTTATATTCAATGATAATCGATAACACCGATGTCATACGTTAGTAGTTTTACTTTGGTGGTGCAGGGTGGGGGGGTATATTTTTTATGCCAATCGGTTCATACACGATCGGTTAGAACATCGAGACGGGATGTCGAAAACGAAAAGTAATGAATTTTGAACGTGACAAGCAAACGTTTTCTGAAAGGGGGAAAAAAAATCACACTAACAAACGGAAATCAATTGATGAGGTTCACTTTTTCAACTGACACCGTATTCACGATTTCTTTCACAGGGTCCTGGCGAAAATGTTGGAGGAAGGGAACAAAGTGAGCGACAGGTAAAAAGAAAAGAAAAGGTGAAAAGGCCGAAGAAGGAGAGAGGGCATAAAGAGAGACGGGGTGAGAGAGGGAGGAGAAAAGGAGGTGTAGGAGGAGGCTAAGGCGGATGGAAGTGAGAGAGAGAGAGAGAGAGAGAGAGAGTGGAAGGCCAGAAGCAGCGCGTTGTGAGTTTACGATTTTCTTAACTGCCCAGTATAGTAGGGTCAGTTGGGCACCGTCTGTGGAAAAAAGAATTTTTTTGTGCCTTAACTTTCTACTGTGAATAAAATGTGATTGACAATCTATTTTTATTTCACTCGATATATAATATATATATATATATATATATATATATATATATATATATATATATATATATATATATATATATATATATGAAGATTGTAGCCAACACCCAGAACCTCTGAGTGTTGACTTCAATGTTCAATTTTATATTTATATCTCTGATATTGAGCACTTTATCCCATAAATATAGCACACTTTTAAAATTATATTTTTATATAAAATATCTATATAAAAATATTTATAAGAACACCGGATTATATATCTTACTGTTCTTTCTTTATGTATATATATATATATATATATATATATATATATATATATATATATAGATAGATAGATAGATAGATAGATAGATAGATAGATAGATAGAATAGTAAGATATATGATCTGGTGTTCTTATAGATATTTTTATTTTTTACAAAATAGTGCTCAATGTAAATTTACAGAGCATTAATATTATAAATTAATTGATTTAAAATATGGTTTTTCCGCTACACAGTTCTAACCATGTTTCAAAAATGGAAGATAAAATCTTCGAATTTAATTTTGTAATTAAATTAAAGACATTAGTTCCATTTCATCCTCAGGCGAATTTTGGAGTAACATTTAAGATTACTGGGTTTTAAAGGCACAGCAAAAAAAAAAAAAACCATAATTCACGTTTCCAAGGATACAGAGAAATCCATTCAACCAGACAAGGGGTGGTTGTGTGTTCATTATCGCTGTATTTTGATGTATCAGTTATTAGTTACGTTTTGGTAAGGGGTAAGGATGTATTTTTCAATGAATTCTGACATCCGTTAAATGCATGTCGTCTGGATTTTTTTTTAAATTTATTGTTAACGGCAAAAATTCTTACGGCATTTTTTCTATTTGTATACTTAAAGATTTAATATATTATTATTATTATTAGGGAGAGAGACGGAGAAGAAAAGGGTCAACTGATATGAATAAAAAGAAAGAAAAACGAGTTTAAAAGAGAGAGAAGTAATGAGCAAGCTAGTGAAAGAGAAAAGGCGAAAGAGATATTGACAGATATAAAGAGAAAGTTTGAGAAAGAGAGGGGCAAAGAGAAAGAGTAATCGAATGAAAGACATTGCGTGAGAGGGAGAGAGTAAAGAAAGAGAGAAATTAGAATTGAAATTGAGAGATATAAAAAAATAGATATATATATATAGAGAGAGAGATGTAAGATTGTAAGCGAGAAAGAGTGAGATTGACTGATATAAAGAAAGAAAAAAACTTGAGAGAGAGTGAGAGAATGCGAGTAAATTTATGGAGAGAAAAAGAGAGGTTATGAAAATGAAAGAAAGAAAGAGATAGATAGATAGATAGATAGATAGATAGATAGATAGATAGATAGATAGATAGATCAAGAGAGAAGGAGAAGTAAGCTTGTCAGAGAGAAAGAGTGAGATTGACAGACATAACGAAAGCTTAAGAGAGAGAGAGAGAGAATTGAAAGAGAGAAAAAGAGAAAGATTAAGGGAATAAAAGAAAGAGATTTATAGAGAGAATGATGGAGAAAGTGAACGTGACATTGCTAGGCAAACAGATAGATAGATAGATAGATAGATAGAAACAATATTTTAATAGTTTTGTTTTCATATTGTAAATACTCATTGGGGATAGATTTTAAATTGTTGTTTTACTCCCCACCATCAGACAAAGAATTTTACATATGGGGACTATTTAGGATTTTCATAGAGACAATGAGGTATTATGGTGAATGTAGAGAGAAAAGAAAGTAAGAGTTTTCTGTACATTGCAGAAATAAATATCGCTTCTTCGTTACGATAGCTAGACATTATGAATTTAAGCACAGTACTAGATAGCAACAAGGTCTCATCAGTTTAGAGTTGAGTTAGCTAGATGTAACCGGAAGTTCTATGTTAGTAGTTTCTTCTGTCGCACATCTCGCTTGTGGAAGTCCTTTCCGGTTTCTTGTTTCCTAGTCAATTTTGATCTTTATAAATTTAAATGCAATATCAATCGTTATTTTCTGTCTTCTTGATTCGTGTTCTTTTATTTTTCTCGCTCCTTAAGAATTTTTTTTCTTTTTTCTTATTCTTTCACGACCAGTAAGCCCTTGTGTTAGAAAGAAAGAGACTGAAAGAGGGAGAGGTAATGATAGATAGATAGATAGATAGATAGATAGATAGATAGATAGATAGATAGATAGATAGATAGATAGATGCAACATTTTAAGAGAGAAATAGTGTGATTTAAGATATAAGGTAACAGAAACGTTGAGAGAGATTGAGAGGAGGAAGATAGAACAAAAGTGGGCGATAAATCGATAGCGAGAAAAATGGAGAGAAACAGAAAGATAGATAAAAAGAGAGAAAATGAGTGTGAGAGAAAGCGGGGGACGAGGGAGATCTTGTTGGAAGAAACATTAAATTGCAAAATGAAAAAAAAAAAATGGCCGAAGCTTTCGGCAACTGCTGATGGTGTCACGAAATGTTATTAACTCCTCACAGACTGTAGGCAGAAACCTGCAGACATTACCCAAATTGAAAATAAATCCGTATAAACGCATAATCAGACGAAAATGTAGAGTTGGCCTAACGATAATACTGGACGAATAACGGAAAAAGCCAGACGAGTTCAAACCCGGTATATATTTTGGTTGCTTTTCTCTTATATCCGGGTATGGAGTCAGAAATTTAATTCGTCCAATCGCTCATAGCGTATATATTTCTCTCTATCAATTTATTTTTCCCCTCCCCTCTCTCTCTCTCTCTCTCTCTCTCTCTCAAACTTTCTCACAATCTGAATCCCTTCTCTCTTCTTTCTCTCACTTTCTGTCTATTTATCTCTCTTAATCTCTCTCAATCTCACTTGGGGTTTCTCTCTGTCAAAATCAGATACTGTCTTTTTTAAATCCAACAAATCGGCTATAGGTATGTGATATAATGAATATGCATACACCTGGGTTCCACTTCACAGTAATATGATTGGCTGGTGTCAGACATAAATACAGACTGATGTGGAGGTACAGGACGACGCCTATAGTCTTCGCCTATTGCCTACGCCTATTGCCTACCACTACGACGAGGACCAGTCCATTACGGTCACCTGCTAGATTGTCCTACTCGGTTATAGTAGTCACAAACACTTTGCTACTTCGAACAAATATAGCCCTTATCAGTATGGTGTCAATAGTTGAAAAAGGTTACACAAGTTCGACTTTTATTGGAAGGCACATTTCTTTCGTGGATTTCTGTTATGGTCCGGTTCCTTGTACCCCGGGTGATAGTCCAAGGTAGAACCAATAAAGAAGAACTCGAACACGTATATGGAGTAACACAGATATATTACAAACAGGAATATATACAGAGAAATAGAAAGTGTTAGTACGAACAATCAGGTTTAGTACAGAGAACAATGTAGTCTCGACCAGTATCACTATTCCAATGTCTTGCAGTAATTGTCTGAACGCGACTCTGTTTCGGTCTGACTGACTGACAGACTTCTGACGGACCTCACTCCAGACTTCAGACTGAACTCTCGACTTCAGACGGAACTCTCGACTTCAGACGGAACTCTCGACTTCAGACGGAACGGTATTTAATCACCCCCCCCCATCAAGGGCATCATGTGGCACAAGGCCGGTTTAACGTAGGATCTCCGAGCCCGTGGGCTCGGCCAAAAATATGCCCTTTGAATCCGTATAAACGGGTTCAGGGTCGGTTTACCTCCCAGAAAGAGAATCCGCCCTTCGGCGTAGCCTCGCTCAGGTTCCTCCCCGCCCGAAGGCAGAGAGTTCAATCGATCAGCCGGTCAGCCGGTCGCCCGACTTCGGACTGAACTCCCTGCTTCCTCTTGAGGCGCAGTAGTTATTACGTATGGAATAGTCCATTATGTTATTATGGGTAAAGTCCCATAACAATTTCTTGGTCCCCGCGCGATCTGTGGCTATACTTTTGAGAATAGGGTGTTGATCTTCTCGCAAAATGCAACATTCATGGAATTGGGACTTTACTGATGCAGTCGCAACTTCGCTGGGCTAATCATGTTGCAAGCATGAGTGACGACAAAATACCTAATGACGTCATGTATAGCCAGCTTGACAGTGGACAAAGGGCCGTTGGAAGGCCGTTGCTCAGGTATAAAGACCAGCTAAAGAGTAACCTCTCAGCTGCCAATCTGCCTCATACTAACTTCGAGCGAATTGCCCCGGATAGATACAACTGCAGTTATTTATGCCAGAGTAGTATCAGAAATGTTGAAATGAGTCGTATTAACTGGTTAATAGTAGTAAGACAACTGCGAAAAGCGCCAGCAAATATTCCTGTGTCTATGCCCCCAGATCGTGGCTTTTGAAAATATATGCACCTCTATGTAGGTCACTAACGGGAGTGAAATGCCACATCCGACACAACATAAAAACTGAATGACCTTGCCGGGTCAGCATATGACGAAATCAACGGGAGAGTCCATCATATATAAAAGCTGTCTGCGCGCAATCTCTGGAGTTAAGCTTCAAGATAGGACATCTAACGTAGACCTGTTTAACAAGTGTAATATTGGAGGAATCGAGACTTTTTATCTTAAAGTCTCAGTTACGGTTGACTGGTCATGTCTTGAGAATGTCTGATGACAGGATACCCAAGATCTGAATGTACAGCCAGTTAGATCAGGGCTACAGAAATGTAGGACGCCCATGGCTAAGATAAAAGGACAAGCTGAAAAGCAACTTGTCAGCAGTCAATATATAACATAACACCCTTGAGCGCTTAGCCTTGGAGCGGGTAGAATGGAGACCAACGTGTTTTAGTGGACTCAGCAGTTTTCAATCAGCAGTTTTTCATCTTCAAGAAGCGAGAGCAAGGTCTAAAAGGTCAGCCAATCTAACTGTGATCTCATCTCACAATCCTCACACTTGCTCCATATGTGGCCTCCTTTGTAAATCACTAACGGGTCTTAAATGCCACAAGATTATCGCACAACCTTTCCTAACTGAATCAATAAGCTGTCAGATCCTCATACGTCGAAACCGACGGGAGAGTCCATTATATATATATATATATATATATATATATATATATATATATAGTCAGCAGACTTTTGTGTCGATTAATTTTACTGATTGACTTTCAAAATTATGAATTGTCTTTCTTAGACAAAGTAGGACACTCCGTCAGAAATTAGCCGAAGTTCATTTCGGAAGAAAAGTAAAAGAAATATAGTCGAAGCTTTAGGACTTTCTGAAATCCTCAACAGGATAGAGACGTCACATTTCGCTTACGTCACAACACTCCTTGCTTACGTCACAACACTCACTAGTTCTACGAAACTCATAAGTTATCTATCTCAATCTCTCCGTATCACTCTCTATCTCTCTCTATATATATATATCTATCTATTTATTATGATTTTATCATATAGACAAAACCATTTTACTCACTACAAAGATGTAACTTGGTTTCAGTGCATTTTAACTGCACTTCGACAGGTGAGAATTGAAAATGGTTATGAATTGCACTGAAACCAAGTTGCATCTTTGTAGTGAGTAAACTGGTTTTGTCTATATGATAAAATTATAATAAATAAATAATTATCGCTCTATTATCGGTATCGAGCCCTCTTTTGGATTAATGCTGGGAACGTTGGAATTTATATATTACTTTCGTTGTCATCACATCGGATATCTATCTATCTATCTTTCTATCTATCTTAATTTCATCAATTTATTGCAGTCTTTTCATCTTTTTCTTAATTTTTTCTTTCTTCTTTCTTTCTTTCTTTCCCAATATGTTCATATCTATCTATCTATCTATCTATCTATCTATCTATCTATCTATCTCATTCTGTACATATCTATTTATCTCACTTTGTACTCTTTTGATCTTTCTTTCTCTCTCTATCTGTCTCTGTCTTTGCCTCTCTTTCTCTCTGTACACACACACACACACACACACACATATATATATATATATATATATATATATATATATATATATATATGAAGGGTATGAAGAGAAGACGACGCACAAAACTGAAGACTCGGAAATGATAGATAATAGGTGCTTATTATAGCTCTCAAAAGACACGGAGTATTTTAAAAGAGTTAAAAAAAAAAAAATAGACGTGACCAATCTGAGATAGATATTTAGCTATAAGTTTTTTCATTGTTTGCATATTTTCGAAAACTATTTTCGGCTATAAAAGGAAACCTTTCTTCAGATGTTTGCGTAATTACTTTTTTCTATAAGCGGCAGCTACACAGTCTTTGAAAACCTTGTCGCATTTCTTCAAGCCAATAGCACCGGCCTTTGCAGGGATGCTTAAAAATATCCACGTTTTTTTGTTTTTGTTTTTTTTGTTATGTTTTAAAAATGTCTTAGTCATTGCATGCATCTTTTGAAAACAACAAAAGCAACAATAGTACTTTTAACGGCGGAATTTCGAGAGATTTTTTTTTTCTATTTTCTAAAATTGAACCGAAGACGAAAGCACTTAAAAGCATCTCTGTCCTCGCCATCAGCACAGCAAGAAGTAAATTTTTAAAAATCACTTGTAAATCAGTACATATTGGTGTGTTTGTAATCTTCAAATTACACGAAACACGCACACACACACACAAATATATATAAATATATATATATATATATCTCAGTTTGTTCTTTTCAAAAATGTTTTTATTTGTGCACACATAAATAACTATGAATATTTGAAAATGTTTTCTAATATATAACACTTAAATTTGTTTCACCACCATATATATATATATATATATATATATATATATATATATATATATATATATATATATATATATATATATATATTAAGGCATGTGTTATTCTTCGCCATCCTGATCTTTTTTCTCAGTTTGTTCTTGCTTCCTCGTAAGTTACTTAATGTTTGGGTCCTGGTTATCAAATTAAGATCCCAGTCGATAGCTTTTTGCCAAGCGCATTTGGTTGCCCTTAACCGTCAGCACGGCATTTGTTTTTATTTGGAAATATGTTATTGGTTGTTTTAGTTTTATAGATACTATTAGAAGTTATTATTGGGTAAGTCTATTATTGGTAAGATGGGAATTTTTTTATATATATTTTTTATTGGAGGATTAGTTATTAAATATGGGAAATATATCTCTGCCAGTATTAATTGATATTTTATTTATGTTTTTTTTTTTTTTGGCCTTTGATGAGGATCGCTTCCAGAATTTGTAATCGTTTTTTGCTATTG